GAACGCAGCATTCCCAGTTAAAAGGTGGGAAATATGTTACAATCTCTGGAACGTATTGTAAGCTTTCAAAACAAAAAGCTTACCGACCTCGAAGACCGTTCCAGACGGTCGAATTTGATTATTCACGGTATTCCCGAGTGCCCTAATGAAACTGATGCAACCCTGAGGGAAAAAGTGGTTAAGGAAATATTCACAGAAAAGCTTGGTGTGAAATGTGATTCCATCGGACGCATACACCGACTAGGAAAACAAACTGGAAAAAAGGCCTATCATCCTCCACGTTCAAAATTTTAATGAAAAGAAAGTAATATTAGAAAATGCGAAAAAAACTGAAAGGATGGTATCTATTCAGAATGATTATTCGCAGTTGACACTTAAGAAACGAAAAAAGCTGTGGGACAGTGCTAAGAACGACAAGCGACAAGGAAAAAAAAGTATTCTTAGTACACGACAGGCTTATAGTAGATAAAGATACATTTTATTGGGATGCATTGCAAAACAGGCGAGTAAAAGCAGGAGACCGTCAATCTTCCAAGCCGCACTCGTGACCTATTCCAGTAGTATGTAACAAACAGTTAAGGCTACTAAATATTAATACCCGAAGCATTGTGAATAAAACTGAAGCGTTCGAAGTGCTTCTGCTGCAGCATGATCCACATATTATGGTTGTTACTGAGACTTGGCTACACGAGCATTTGCCTAATGATGACGTCTTCCCCCCATCCTATACAGTTTTTCGTAAAGAGAGACGCACTAGGGGAGGAGGGGTGGCTGTATTGTTAAAGCAGTGCATCGATGCTGTTTTGTTGGATGATCTTGTTGACATAGAATGCTTATGAATTAGGCATACATGCTGGGGTCATTGTCTCGCTGTAATTGGGTTGTACAGACCCCCAGACGTTACTCCAGAATACCTTAGCACACTGAAAAATTATATGGCCAAATTTGAGAGTAAAAGGTCTTACTGATTGGTGACCTGAACCTATCTGGAGTAGACTGGGAGCACCTTGACGCCGGCATTAACACTTCAAAACATGTTAACATAGTGTTTGACATCATGCTTATACATGACCTATTGCAGGTAGTTCAGGTACCTAAGCGCGTACAGAGGGATTCCACCTCAATATTAGATCTTGTGTTTCTGAACCGTAATTTCTCCGAATATACAGTAGAAGTAGGGCAAGGTCTTTCTGATCATAACTATGTCTTCACTTCCTTTCCTCTTGTTCCACAAACTGGCCATAAAAACCCGGTATTTCACTGCTTTAAAGACTTTTCCAAGGCTAATGATGCAGATATAATTGAACACCTAGAAACATGTCTTACAAATTTTGATGACGTAAATGTTAGCGTGCTTTGGACACGATTCGAACAAATGTGTCATTTTTGTTTAGATAATTTTGTGCCTTCCAAGCACAAAAAAGTTAACAAACAAACACCATAGATAAATCGCAACATCATTCATCTTAAGCGCAAAGTTAAGCGACTGAAAAAAAAGCGGGCAACGGCTGATTTGATACATGATGCGCACAACAGTCTTGCTCAAACTGTCCGCAGCTCTAGGGAGTATTACTTTAAAACCTCATTACCTAACTTTATTGCAAATGACCCCAGTAAATTCTGGAGTTTTATCAGTGAAAAGAAAAGACCTGTATCCCAAATATCAATTGATGGAACCAACATCACCGATCAGAAAGACATTGCCAGGCATTTTAATCAATATTTCCAGAGTGTGTTCAACACTTCTGATTTCAAGTGTATATATAATGCTACAGCCTTTCCTTATGCTGAATCACTGTTTATTTCTTATCCAGGCGTGGTGTCTATGTTGCTAAATTTAAAAACTAAGGCATCCTGTGGTCCTGATAACATATCGAACGTATCTCTACGACCATATGCTTTATCTCTAGCAAAGTTTTTGGTTATTATTTTTCGCTGTTCTTTGTTGTCTTCCCAGCTGCCCAGTGACTGGAGGACAGCCCGCGTTGTACCCATCTTTAAAAAGGGGGACCGCTTAGCACTAGGAAATTACCGCCCAATCTCACTAACTTCACAATGTTGTAAAATTATTAAACACATCATAGCTACTAGTATAAACAAGTATATTGAAGAACACTCTATATTAACCATTTATCAACATGGCTTTCGGAAAAGATTATCCACCGCAACTCAACTCGTCACACTGTTTCACTCTCGCATTAAACATCGATAGACACGGTAGGACAGATATGCCCTTCTTAGATTTCTGCAAAGCCTTAGAACAAGAGGTATACCCGAAATATTCCTTTGTTGGATTTCTGCGTATTTAAATAATTGCAAACAGTACGTTGATATAGGGTGCCAATATTCGGACTGTCTTCCGGTCACATCGGGCGTAACACAGGGCAGTGTGTTAGGCCCTTTGCTTTTTCTATTGTATATCAATGATATTGTTGATGTTATTCACCCTAGTGTAGAAATAAGATTGTTTGTAGACGATTGTGTTTTGTTCAAAGAAATACGTTCCACTAACGATTTCAACGATCTGAGCACTAGCCTTTGCAATATATATGAATGGTGCAACAAATGGGGAATGTGTCTCAATGCGAACAAATGTATGTGCCTTCCAGTGACTCGCCAAAAGAATCCACAATCGTATACATACATATTAGGGTCTTCACCATTGCTACAAGTAAACTCCTACAAATACCTTGGTGTGACACTCACTTCCAACTTATCTTGGAATCTCCATATTGATAATGTTTGTTCATCTGCCTTTCGTAGACTATGTCTTCTTAAACATAAACTTCAAGGTGCTCCCACGAATGTTAAACTACTTTGTTACACAGCCCTTGTGCGGCCAAAACTAGAGTACGTGAGCACAGTATGGGATCCTTATACAAAACGTAATATACACACTCTTGAGCGTATTCAAAGAAAAGCTGTTAGATTTATATTCAACAAGTACTCCAAGTTAGACTCGCCCTCAGATTTAATGCTAGCTAACAACATTCCCTTACTGCAGATGCGAAGACAAAAAGATAGATTAGAATTCCTTAATCAACTTTTGAACAAAAAAATAGCTCTAGACCCATCCCCGTATTTGACACCCCTTAGTAGCCGGCCCACCCGACACCACCACCCAAAAGCCTTGATCCCATATTTTGCTCGCACAGACCTACTGAAGTATTCGCACTTTCCAAGAACCATATGTGAATGGAACTGTCTGAATGGAACTGTCTGAATGGAACTGTCTTACTAATACATGTGATGAATGAACTAACCTACCAAACAACCTTCTTCGTTCTTTATTGTTTCGTTTTGCAATTATTTTATTTGTATGTGTATTACCACCCTGCTTGGACCTCGAGTCTGCAGTATTGAATAAATAAATAAATAAATAAATAAATAAATAAATAAATAAATAAATATCCGAGGTCATTTTCTTTAGACCAGAGGTTGGCAGCCTGTGGCCTGCAAGGCTGTATAAGGCAGCCTCCGCCACCATATCCGAACTCTCTCCCCCTCCCGCCCCCGCTTGTCATCTATTATCAATAACCCAACATAGCAGTTTTGACCTCAAATGGCGTTCTGCCGCTAGCGTTCTCTTGTTAATTGCAACTTTGTGACATGTCTACAGGAAATAAATGTTGTTTGTTTCTATTTCGGTTTTTAAATGCGAAGCACTTCTTATTGAACTTCGGCGACTTTGCGCGTATTTGTCTATCTAGGCACCTACGACTTTTAGCTCTCCTGGCCGTTTCGATAGTGGTATCGATACCAAACTTGGTATGGCATAACGTGACATTATAAAGAACATATTTGACTAGTCATAACATAAAAATCATGATATGGATGTGATGAGTGTCATGATTTACATTTCATGGTCCTGCAGCTCTTGCGGAGGTTTCGTTCACATGCAATGTTGCAAAACTGATATAGTATGGCATGATTGCATGGCAAACACAAGCGACGCACCCTAACATGAAAATCATGACATGCGTGTCATGTAACAACATGACTACATGCCAAGCCCATGATGCGCTCGCGGGCACTTCGCTAGCGTCACATATACCAAATTTGGTATTACGGTACGTGAATGAATGATGAAGGTATGTGACTGGTGCAAACATGATAATCATGAGATGTGTGTCATGTAACAACATGACTACATGCCACGCTCATGATGCGCTGGCGGCCGTTTCGCTAGCTTCACTTATACCGAATTTGGTATCACCGGACGTGAATGGATGACGAAGGTATGATACTGGTGCAAACATGATAAAACATGAGATGCGTGTCATGTAACAACATAACTACATATTACATTCATGATGCGCTAGCGGCTGTCCCGCTAGCTTCACATATGCCAAATTTGGTATTACGTGACGCCAATGGATGACGAAGGTATGTGACTGGTGCAAACACGATAATCATGAGATGTGTGTCATGTGAGAGCATGACTACATGCCACAGTCAAGGCGCCAATACATTTCGACATGACGCGGTGCGTGTGCTCGCCGGCGTTCATTTCGTCGCATCATGCTGGCGTTGCCACGCCAGGCGCTGGTCCTGCCATATACTCGCAAGCGCGCGCCGCGCTGCGTTGCTTTCACGCATGCGCATTTTAGCGCATGCATGAATACCAAATTCACGCATGCGCATATACCAAATTTGGTGTTACGTGACATCAATGGATGACGAAAGTATATGACTGGTGCAAACATGATAATCCTGACACACGTGTCATGTAAGAACGTGACAACATACCACGCTCATAGCGTGCCCGCGGCCATTTTGCTAGCTCCACATATACTAAATTTAGTATCATGTGACGTGAATAAATGGCGAAGGTAAATGACACATCCAAACATGATAATCATGACGCGGAAGTCTTGTGCGGCATCATTTACCTCCACCTCGTAACCTTGTGCTGATTTTTATATTGGTCACGATTAACTGAATATTTTTCCTTATGCACCCCCCCCCCCTACCAATTCACACAAAAAATGCTCACGAACCTTTGACCAGTGACGACCCTTTTGGACAAGTGAGGTGACATTCACTTCTTGGCACCAGAGAGCACCGACCAATGCACCAATGCTCACACCACCAACCATGTCGATGGGAATGCCTGCCTCGTAGATGGCCCGAATCATGCCTACATGTGCACAGCCTCTGGACATGGGCAGAATAGAAATAAAACAAATAAGTTCTGAGGGCAACAACGGCACCGTAGGCATAACTGAATGAAAATAAATAAATAAATTACTCATTACAATAAAAAAAAGATACACACACACACTTCACCGTGCTACACCACCTAAGAAAAAATACAGTTCGTTTCCATAACCAAACATGGTAATGCCCATCGCTGCTGCCGGTACTCCTTGGTCAGGAATTGCGATCAGTGAATTTTCGCTGCATAATCCCACACTAATAATTTCTTCATATTTATATATCACATAAGACTTCTAGTTCAAACAATGTTTTCACTCAAAATACATATTAAAAAATATGTCTCAGCAATATGCTGGGCCTCAGCAATACTTCAGTGGTCTAAAGTAGCCTGCAGACTTACGAGTGATGGTTTCCAACTTTGTGCACCACATTAAATCTATTTTTACTGATACGACATCAACAAACACGTCGGCAACCTCTCAACAAACTGAAAGCTCTTCCGACATCCTGCTTCTACTAACAAAATGGCTGCACAAACTTTGTAGCAAGAAAAATGCTGAAAGGTTTCATAAAAAATATTTGCACAGATAACTTTTTTTGCTGTGCTTACTTTAAACTATACAATTAGTTCAACAAGTGAGTCTTTATAACTCTTTCATTACCATGCCTATTAAATTTATCCCCAATGACCAATGCTTTGAATCGTCTTTTTTGCATGTTGAATTTCTTTCGTGTGCACCTAGCAGTTCCTAGTAGTTACGGTAGTTCAGCCACTCATTTTCCAGAATCAGTTGGAACTTGTCCAATATGGCAACAGTTACTTTTCACAAACCTTCTCACAAATCAACGTGTGTGTGTGTGGTTGGGAAATGCACTTGGCAGACAAACTTGAGAGAAATGTGGTGGTGGCGGTTATGCGGCAGTAACATCAAAATTCCGTAATAAAAATAACCTCAGCAAATTAACTACCGAATTATGGCATCAGCTTCGTGATCTGAAAGTGCTGAACTGTAACAATTGCCTAAAATTCATGCCAGCTATTCAATAGAAAGCTGTTAGGAGTGGGGGACGATTTGGTTTTCAAGAATTAATCGAGAAAGTATGTCGCATGTAGTATAATGTGCGGAGGTGGCCTTTTCCGCCAGTTTCCAGCAGCTTTGGTTTCACTTCTATTGTTATATCAGACACAGGGCCACATTCAGAGCCACTAGTCGCTCCCAAAACATCGGCGTGATTCTCACATGGGTGCCCACCTGCGCCGCGAGAAACGCCTGCCGCTCAAGACAAGCTCGCGACCCCAGCTGAATAGAATGCCGATGAGCTTTGTGTCCAAACATTACAGCACCTCAGCTTCAAGCTCTGACGGCAACAATGTTTTGCATCAGCATGAGACATTTGCAGTCGTTCACTGGTTGGTTTTGTTTAGGCACAATCTTAGTGCTACTTTGATTATGTGCTGGTGCCGGCTGCAGAGCTTCCCCTCACGGCAATAAGGCTACCGCAGCACATCTCGGCCCCACCCACACTACGGAGCAGCTCGAGACGAATAAATACAAATAGATATGCTTCGATGCATATTTTGGAACACCAACCTAGGAGAGTGGTGGCTTACGGAAAGGTGTGACGCCAGACGAACGTGAAGTTCACTGGACATGTGATGTATATAGGCATTACTCACATCACGTATCAATCTATACTGGAACACCAGCAGTATAGATTGACATCCAACGAGAGTGTACGTGAGAAGTATACGAAAGCACCTGTGTTTCATAAAGAATCAGTAAATGCTTTACTGCATGGCATGAGCAATGAAGCGATACATCGGCTGAGATTTCTTTTGTCCTTATTATTAAAAAACACTGCGTAGAACATTCATTTTTTTATGCTATTCCAAGGTCATTTCACTTCGAAAACTATTTTCCGAGTTTCTTTGTTTTTGTTGTTTTTGCATAGTATATCGTGTTTTTTATTGCAGTGTTTATCAGCTGGCAACCAAAATTCAGTGATACCACCGAGGTCTTCTGCTTTGGAGCACTTTGGAACAGCAAAATTTTCTATTCAAGAGTGCATTGGAGCAGCAAAATTTTCATTTTAGAGCACTTTAGAGCAGCAAAATTTTCCATTTAGGAGCACTTTGAAGCAGCAAGATTTTTCATTTTGGAGCAATCTGGAGCTGCTAACTTCGCATCCTGGAGGAGAAATAAGTAGCATTTACATTCAAGGGCATTCAAGGGAAGAAAATTGTTGATCACGTATACTAGTATACGGTCACGTGACAAGGCAATTCGGATAAATGAAGTTTCTCTCACCAGGTGGTGCCACTGGCTATATTAGAGATTTTCAATGAAGAAATGCAAATATAATTCTACTTTTCATGAGAAAAACAAAGTTGGTTTGAGTCATTATGAGGGACAATCCTTTCATTCGTGATCTTATTTCATGTTCTGGGTAGTTGTCGGTCCCTTTGAAAGAGCCCCGACATACTTCTTAAGTAACCATAAAATGGCTTTATTAAAGACCTTTATTGCCTCATGAATCAACCGCCGCAAAAATGTTTAAATCCCAAGGGATGCGATGGAAGCAAAGTAGGAGGGGAGGGCCCGGGAAAAGAATTACGTCAGACACACGTCTTAATAACCTTCAGCCCTTTCTTTCTCTTTCTTGGAATGAGCAGCTTACTTTCAGTGTGATCGCGAGTGCGCACACGTGACGGCCTCTTGCGACAGCCATCAGGCATTATGCAGCTCACAATGCTCAAATCAGCCAATGAACATAAATTCGGATGTATGGCGCAGTCATTTGGGTATATGATATCATTCGTAAAAAATAGAGGGAATAATTTCAAGCTGATTTTGATAACTTATAGCGATTTCCAGGTTGCATGCTGAGCTATGTTTGCTTGCATGTTCTCAGGAGCGTTGACTATGATCAGCAGTGTTTTCCGACAATGCTCAAAAAGTGCTGCAGGGCTCCTTTAAAAGAAATGCGTTACAAGCAATGCGGTTCCTTATAACCTATTACATCCATCACTGTTTAAAAAGTATAGGCAATCAACACATGGTCTTAGGCCTACCTTGCTCCTCCACCTCCAAGAACAAGGCCAATTGATGTGCCAGTGAGGAATCGTGCCAGGCGTGCGAAGTCTGAATGTACACTCACAGTTCCTTCTTGAACCCTCTTGTACACCTCTGTCTGCGAGTGAAATCAGGACAGACCATTTTTCAATGACACAACATGAATTAAAGTGCAACATTAGCAACAGTATTAACAACTCAAAATTGCAGTAAGATAGCTTTTTGGCCAAGATGGTGTATGTCTGGAGGAAAGTGAGTCGTGGTAATGACATCAGACTGTTACATAGGAAAATACAACTGCCTTGCCTCCCTCTTCAAGAAAAGTTGGCACTTTCCTTTCACTAACCCTGTGAAACAACACAACTAGAAAAGCCTTATGCGCATTAAAGAGGATTATTATGCTCTATATAAAATTAAGGTTTAGCATTAGCAAAACAGCAACACCTATTGGGTGAAGACTTCGTAGTCCATAAATAACAAAAAACTGAAATATAGATATTAAGAAAGGGCTGCATAGCACTGCAATCATGCCAGAGACTTGACTAAACCTGGTAGGCTTTGAGAACTATTTTAGCACCAAAACGGTCAAAAGTATAAAAGTACATATACACTAAAACTTGTGACACCACACTAGCAACGAGATTCCAGTGTTAACTCCAAAAGAAAACATGGCTTGCTATTTCCTACGCAACTAGACAATCTTATTCTGTCTAATGAAATGAAAGAGTTTTGAAAGCGTATATATTATTATTAGTTTAAGCCATTATATGATGATAATCTGGTGACAAGGCAAAATCAAGCAATAGAGCTGCAAATGATAATTTCTCCAAGGAAAAACTACCCTGTTTTTTGCAGACAATCACACAAACTCTATGTTGAGGCAGAAATACTTAGTCGCATCTGAAATGCCACTGCTACAACTAATTACAAAAATTACAAAAATTCTTAATTAGCATTTTAATTTTTGACATGAGGGTAACTGTTCATATTACAAATTTGTAGGGCATGACAATTTATGACACCCATTTTTTTTTTTCATTTTAGAAATCATGCAAGTTGCACGTAATTTTGCGATAGTCAATCAAATTTTAAAGGCAGTATCAAAACTGAACCTGCCTGCCACACAGGAAACGAGGCCCCTCGGTTATATAAGAACAGAACTACACATGACAAGGAAGTGATGACAAGGAACTCGAATCAAGGCGCAAAGAAGTAGAGTATGGTCTGGAAAATCTGAAAGCTTTCTGAAGTATACAAGCAGACAGCTTATTTTTTTGGGTGCAGTGCGTGGTGTTTATATTTTTTTATCCGATACTACAAACAGGCAAGGAAAATTTTTTTTTCCTGTCTGCAAAAAGAAGCGCCACAGCAACTGCTCCACAGGTTTATGTTTCACAAGAAAAAAAAGTTTAAATTGCAGTTTCATAGCTTGAAAGAAAAATGAGCACAAGACAGCACACACAAAGCTAATGGATCCGCTGGCACAAATGAGATAACTTGCCATGTTCCCCAAAAAATTGCAGCCACTACGTCCCTTCATTAAAAATTCAACCGAATTTGACCGTTAAGTGTTATAGGCAGTTTCAGTCTGACATAACACAATGCACATGCTTCATGTGCACCAGGCACGACCAGTCGCAATGTCACCCTCAAAATTCAATACGAATATCTTGAACTATGGGCATGCCATAAATTGGCATGTGCTACAACTTTCCAATATGAACAACAACACTCAAGTCAATAAGTAAATAGTAAATTAAGAAGCTTTTGTCAATTATTCATCTCAATGTCATTTTAGCTGTGGCACAGTATTTTCACCTCGACATTTGAGTTTTTGTGCGAAAATGACAAGAGCATTACTGTCAAAGTACTTTTTTATAAAGTGTGTATGCATGTGCTGTTTTTTAGACAACAGATATTTTTAATAAATATGCTATGAGTCATGCACTTGTCATTTTTACTGGCTTATAATTTAAAAATTCTAATGTTGCAATAAAATAATAATTGCATAAAGTGATTAACAAAGTTTTGTAACAAAAAGCTGAAGAGAAGTTTAAATGAGAAGGTTGTAGGCCATCGCAATATATGTTACACCATTTTTTTTAATCCTTAAAATATTGCACGTCATTTGAGATAGTCGTTATTGAACTTCAATAGTGATATTGAAATCAAGCATGCTGCACGTGCCAGAAAAGCAACCGCTACATCACATAACAGCAGACCTTCCTATGATAAAATCAAGAACCTTTGAGAGATGCACTCCATAGTATATTGCGGTGGAGAGCAGCAGGTTATCTCCTTTCCACCAGCAAATCACCTTACCTTTGAATTGAATGTTTGTCATTTATTTTTTTCTTTTATAATGTGTGCAAGGAAACCGCAATTTCCACTTTTTCTTTCACTTAAGAACAACTCGGGGCGAAAAACTGAAATGACACGCAGTTTTTATTTCTAAAAAATGAGTGCCTAAACTGGTATACCCCGCAACTTTCCCGGAGAAACAACTGCCCTAAAGTCATTCATTGACAATTTAACAAATTTTTACATCAATATTCATGTACATATTTTTTTTAAGTAGCTTAGCCACAGCGAAGTGTTTTCACTCTGACAGAGAGTACATGTGTGAAAACAAGTACTTTAATGTCACAGAATTTTCATAAAATATCAGCATCATACAAAAAAATACAACCTGTGCATATGCAAAGGAGGCATACAGAATACACAACAGCCACATCAGCTACGTTATGACCATGCTCTAAATATTTTGGCCCGATTATCTTGAATTTGCCACAATCATTGAAAAGCCTTACAAGTGACCGTCAGAAAGTGAGTAGGTGTCACCAAACACGATCAGAAGAAGGGTAGTACCATATTTACTCGTGTTATAGACACATTCGCATAATAAATGCACCCCCAACTTCAGTCATGCAAGTTCGGACTCCCCCCCCCCCCTTCCCCGCGTAATAAACGCACCCCTACATTCATCCGCTGCAGTATCGCTAACAGACACCTGGCACCTCCTCACCCATTGGATCTCTTCCGTTTTTTTTTATTATTTTGCCAACCCCCCTTGGCTACTGCCACTCATTTCCCCCCTCCCCTGCCCATTGTTGCGTGCTGTACTGTTTTCCTTTCTATCTGTGCGTGGCACGTCATCCGCCTTACCTGTGCGCCACAGCGGGGTAAACAAACGGTGCGAGTGTAGAGACATCGCAGCTGATAAGCACACAATGCGCAAAGCTCATGATCGTGACCTTCGCTCACTGTGTGCTTAAGACTACCCGCGCCAACAGATGGAGGGTCGCTCTCTGCGAATACGAAAAAGCCCAATCACGTACACGCAATTTTCGAGCAATGGCGATAGCGATTGCTGTCGCGAAGGGTCATTCATCACTATTGCGTCACAGGTTTATGGAAACCCGAAAAAATTGCTTGTTGTCTAGAAAAAAATTGTGACAATTTCCGGAACATGGTAGCATCCCCGATTCTCACTTCGCTTGTTATCCGCGCGTAGAGGAACTTTTCATGCAGAAGTGAGGCGGCGGCCTTATTTTGTCGTTAATCTTGTTATCGACGGTTTATTTTGATGCTTCGGGGTAGCTCGCTACAATATTGGTTACTTGCTACAATGTTAACTGGGGGGTCACGGTCGCCGTGCGAGATTGCCACAAAGTTGGCAAAGTGCGTCGTAGCGCACACATTTCGGCGCCCCTCGAGATCACAGCAAATACCAATGTTGTACACATACGTGTACAACAGTGGTATTACATATGTCACACAGATGTAATACCACTGTTGTAAACAGTGTACAGATATGTCAATTACGAAAGAATAAGCCACCTAACTTTTTTTTTGCATTACAGCGTTTTTTCCTCCTCCTGAAAAAGTTTCCATAAAATTTACCCCGCGTAATAAACGCACCCCCCAACTTTGCTCCGATTTTTAGAGAGAAAAAAAAAAGCGTTCGTTACGCAAGTTGTGGGGGTGCTGACACCCCCCCTGTAAAGTTGTCTGAGCCGCGTGGCGCACGTGTCTCGCCCCAGGGCTTTGTTTCGGTGGTGACCACCACCGGGCGATAGATGGCGTTGGGTTTGCTTGGAGTACCACTGTTGGTAGAGTGGTAGCGCCGGCGGTGGCCCCTGGCGGAAGGCAGGCCTTGGTGGTGGGCGAGCGTTGAGCGAGCCTCTTCTGCGCGTGGCGGCTGCCGCGAACGGTTGTCTGTAGCGTAGGTCCCCGGTGCTCGGCACCGCGGGCTTCGCGCCGGGGTCCCACGTGGAAAGTCAGGCATTGGCGACGCCGCCTTGGGTATGTGTTAGTGTGTTGGGTGTGTTAGTGTGTGTTTATCATGTTATTGTGTGTTTAGTGTGTCACTGTGTTATGTTGTTTGTATGGTAGCGTGTTAATTGAAATTGGTGTATCATTCGGCGGACGATATCGTCGTCTAAATTAGCTAATAAATGTATGTATGTTGTGTGCTTTGTACCGACCGCGTTTACTGTGTCCGTTCACTCCAAGAGCGTGGCGTGGCGTGGCGCTCGTTCGTTTCGCGGAGACCCCACAAAGTAAATATGGTATGTTGTCTCAATACCTTTGGGAAACACTTCTTACAAAATGAACATAAACACCACTAACAATTATAATAATATCCGGGGTTTTACATCCCAAAGCCACGACATGATTATGAGAGGGGCCGCAGTAGAGGGCTCCAGAAATTTTTCACTGTCCAGTGTTTTTTAGTGTGCCCTAAAGTACACTAGACACTGGAAAATTTCTGGAGAGAAAAATGACAGACCCATGTCATTGCATAGACACGAGCCTCTCCCATTTTGTCTCCTACAAAATGCAACCGCCACGGCTAGTATCAAACTCGTGACCTTCAGATCAGCAGCTGAGCCCCATAAGCACTGCTTCACCGAGGTGAACGAAAAACAATCATTATCTCGTCCCACATTATACAGATTTGAGGTTCCCCACAATGTGATGATTAATTCTAGGTCCCATGTGTACACTCAATTCTGAGTAGACTGAATAGGACATCAAAGTGCCATATTTTCATTATCGAGGGCCTCAGTTCTAATTTACTTAATCCGGCAGCACCTGCTAGTAGTTTTAGTGTCCCACAAGCATTGCGAATAACTTCTCAGTTTATTTTTTGTCGAAGTGAACCAAAATCAGAGGCAAGTACAGCTGTGAAAGAATTAGTAGCTTTTGTTTCAATTGATGAGACTTAATTAGTAAGCAGTACCCTCAATATATGTGGACACAGAAACCTTATTACAGTAGGAAATGCTGACCAGCTGCGTAAAAAAACTTAATTCATCAGTGGGATAAACCTCAATTATTGGGCGTTTGTGCTTAAAAAAATTAATTCTAGAGTTTTCAGTGTCAAAACCACAACATTATTACGAAGCATGCTGTAAAAAGAAAACTATCTTTACTGAGGACTTTTCACATGGGCCTATGTCTAAGCATACTGGCAACATCTGCACTATATTAGAGCTAACCTGACGCATCAGTTATAGCTGGCCAGGCTGGGTGACATCCTGACAGGCACTTTTTCATCAGATGCCTAGCAATAGAAGCAACAGTCTACAGTATCTATGTTGAAGCAACATGCAGTACAAGGTCTTTGCTCTTATCTGCCTGCAGGTTGTGAAAGTGAGGGTTTAGGGTGATCAAGGGAGTTCTGTTCATGTTTACTTTGCATGCACGATGTATCCCCACGTGATGCTATGGACTGGTTATCTTCATCGCCTGCCAGCTTGCTCTGTTTTCGAACCTTTTTGTGTAATGCAGCATATTAAGATAAACGAGTCACATCAGTATGAGTTCTATGCAAGCCCCATCCTCAAGCCAGATGAAATACATGCGAGAAGGCGAGGGGTGTGTGCGAGTCATTCTTTTGTGTGAAACTGAACAACGGCAGTTGGTTACAGACTAACTTTTCAGCTATTAGCTACAGTGTGGCTCTATTTTACTTTTCTTTTCAGGGGCACAAGTTCATTTCAATAAAGCCTTGTCTTGGTTGCTGCTTATACGTGATTCCTGCATCCCTTTACAGGTACATAATGATATCATGCTCAACTAAATGTTTTCCACAATTTACACAGCTGATGAAACTGCTGATCTTAATTTATGTAGTTTAACACATCACTGTCAATGCATGGCCTTTCTGGCAAGAATACAATATTTTTAATGTGATACCGTCTTTGCTAGTACAACAGGTATACATGCCGAACCACACGCATTCTCATTATTATGTCTCTGCCTGCTTCAGTGGTGCAAAAAATTTCATGTGCATTAAAGCATGGTACAAGTACATATATCTCTTTCAAAGCAAAATACACATCTGTCCTCATTTTCGCTTCCTTGTGCAAGAAACAGCTGACACAGTCCCAACATTTAAACTTTTACTGGTAGCTAGTAAACACGCTTTCTTTTTCGTATGCTTCATGTTTTTACAATATGAATTTTATGCGATAGTAACGGTTGGCATGACTCAATAAAATTTGTATCACCAAGACCTAACTTCTTTGATCATGTTCGTCTGTTATTAAAAAAAATTGATGGAATATAACCGTATCCAATAATTTTTAACAATAAATTCTCGGTACAAATGAGAACGACCAAAATTCCCCCTTCAAGTGTGTGTATTTCCTATTTCCTTTTCCAGCATTTTAAACATAATAATTTCTGCTTACGATTCGAGACGGTGAGTGGCGCATGAACATGCGCTTAGGGCATCGAATGTGATGATGAGAGGAACACCAGGAACGCATGTTGAGCCAGGCCACTGTGTTGCGTGGCTTGTCTGCACCCTCTCTATGCAGCAGAACAAGCTCCTTCTGAGTTCGCTGTGCTATGCTTTCTGCCTGCTTCTCAAGCTGCAAGCGAAAATGACATGAAAAATAAATGAAGTAAACAGTAATTGGAAACACAAATGATGAGCACAACTGAGGAGAATAATGAGAAAAACAGATTGAATAAAGTGATTGATGAGCAAGAAAAATTTCAGTAGATCCCACACATAGTGAAAATAGAGTGCATCACAATGTAATTAAGCTGCCTATGCCACATTTTTTTGGCTTCGTGTCAAGCATTAAGAGATGGACTGACGTGTTAATGTAAAACGAGTAGTCCGCATATTACTGGGCATATAGGCCACACTGGTGTGAAAAAAGTTGCTTTTGGTCCGACATCATGTCAGTGCTCGCGTTATAGAGCTCAAACATCACTTTCATAAAAATGCAGCATACGCAAGGTGTACTTAAGGAACGTTATACAGTCGAATCTTGATAATTCGAACTGAAAGGGGCCTGGAAATTTGTTCGAATTAAAAGAAGTTCGAATTAATGAAAGCTAATTAAACGGAGGGCTCTCCATGCAGTGGCGCATGTGCATTGAGCTAACACACGAAGGGGAAGTTTTAGAAGACTTACATTTATTCACAAATCACAGGACATCTGTTATTAATTTAAGTAATCGGTGATGCGCGTCTGCACACGTTTGCCTTGCAGCGAGTCAATCAATTTTGCACGCAGCTTGCAAAGCTTTTCTACTTTGGCTCCAGAATTCTCCCGGCAAGAGAAGTTGGACTGGAAATGTCCAGCGCCAACACTTTGTAAAGACGACGACACCAACGACTACGCAGCCACAGCATGGCCAGCACGTGACGAGAAAGGAGGAGCGTCTCCACACGGAGAGAAGCAGATCGGCATTTGTAAAAAAACCAACACTCCACAACAGCCCTTTTTTTTTTTGCTCTCTTCGCATACGTTGTTGAAAGAAGAAGGGTTACGTGGCAGGGACAGGAAAGGGAGAAGCGTGGCACCAGCACATGAAAGACCCCACCCCCTCAAGGCGCACAGCCGTGCTCCCGCAAGGGGCAAGGGCTGCAGAAGATGATTGATTGGTATGTGGGGTTTAACGTCCCGAAACCACCTTATGATGATGAAATACGCCGTAGTGGAGGGCTCCGGAAATTTCGACCACCTGGGGTTCTTTAACGTGCACCCAAATCTGAGTATACGGGCCTACAACATTTGCGCCTCCATCGGAAATGCAACCGCCGCAGCCGGGATCCGAACCCGCGACCTGCGGGTCAGCAGGGCTGCAGAAGATAGTGCCTTTTTTCTTTCCTTCAACCACACATTCATTCGACCCAGTGACAGCTTTCTTTTTCTTTTTTCCGTCTCTCTCTATTTGCACGTGCCGTCGGAAGGAGAAGTGTCTTTACGTGGCAGAGACGGCAAAGGGAGAAGCGTGACACGGGTGCGTCGCAGATCGGCATTTGAGAAACAGAAAACATTCCAACGCAGCCTTTTCTTTCCTTTTCATTTACTTCGCGCGCAGCGTAGAGGTGTCGCAGGTGCTGCCGCGGGATTGGGCGGAGTGCTGAGAGCATTTTCGCAGCGTGGTATGTTCGAATTTACCGATGCAAGTGCTTGCACATTCCAATTACCGGGCGTTTTCGCACCTTGGAATACAGATAGCTTTGACGGAACCTCATCGTGAGTTCAAATTACTCGAAGTTCGAATTAAGTGCGTTCAAATTAATGAGATTCGGCTGTAATTAGTTTTCACTTGTTTGTTTCCTGCTGGGAGGTGCGACATGCAACTATAGCTTGCTGAGCCATATGAGTACATGTGTGCAATGTTTATTATACTGTTATAAGAACAGCAGCCAGCACTGCACCCACAATTAGTGTTTGACAAGCATTTCTACCACAGTTGATAATGGGCAAACATCATCGCAACTGGTCATCTAAAATTTATTAACAATAGGTACCATGTGGTTGCTGGCCGAGTGTCAGCATTTGTCTGCTATATTAAAATCACTAACTATGAGGGGTGTTCAAATAAAAAGGCACTGAAATTCGTAACAACACGACCTTTAACGTAGATATTATGCCACTATAAGAGAATGTAGCGAGACATCTAGGGATGTGATTGAAGTCTTTGCTGTGAGTTGTAGCATGCGGGGGCACCCACATGAGCAGGAAAGAGCGAAGGCTTTTATAAAAAGTGCCATCCAATCGATGCGGAAATGCGTGTGGGGACAGGATGAGGTTGACATTGCTGACAATTGAGGAGCAGCAAGGCAATATATTTGTGATAGCAGGTGTTAAACCAGCCATCATTCATCACTTGCAATTTCCACATGCTTGGTCCCTGATAACATTTGACAAGGAAGCACTAACTCAAAGGACAAATCCAATGACACAGTGAAAGACTAGGTCACGTCATGGCCACAGGAATTCTGAGAACAAGGAATCCTTCGGTTAAATCATCTAAGAAACCACCATGATCAGGCACATAGTGTATGCTTTGACTAAAGTGTTCATTTATACTTACAGGGCTGTTTCATAACTTTTTATTTGAACACCCCTTGTGTAACAAATGGTATGCGTTTCTATAACTTCATACAGCCAAAGTGTTCCAAAAAGCTACCAGCCATGGCACCTAGCATATGTAAGGTGTCACACAGGTAAGCATGTCACACTCCTGATTGTCAAGTGGGAGGAAACAACTTTATCGAATAGGTACAATTGTGTGCACTATCTCGAAAGATCAGCAGACTGCTCATAGCTTTGCAAGTGCTATGCTACCACTGTTTACTTTCCGCTGAAGTAAAAGGCAGCAAGAAAACCACTTACATTTGCTAGAGTAACCGTATTCCCATACATCAGCACTTTATAGTTACACCAGAATGAATCCTAAAAAAGTTAGATGCCAATCTTGCTTTGTGTAACATTCCAATTCGTTGCTATCGCATTGATTGCTTTGCCTTGCAGCTCAAATTTACTCCTTTCTTTCTTTTTCAAGAGGGAATTTCTAAGCTTGCAATGCCAGGTGTCACTTGGTTCATGCCTTTCATCAAAATGTGGCCACCAGAAAACATGGCTCATGGAATGGCAAGATGCAAACCGCCAAGAAAAGACAGGCAAAAAGATGTGAAGAAGGCACTCTTTCCTTTCGTCTGTTTTCTTTTCGTGGTTTGAGTTTTACAAAACGGTAACACGCCTCATCACTGTTGCCATGCATGCACAGAATCCTTACTCACCAAAAAAGGTTAATTGGACATTCTACGAAAGATGGACGAGCTCCATAGAAGAAAGATCTAAAATAAGATTATGAAGGAGGAAGATTAATAATTATATCTGAGGTACCAAAACAAAGATATGATTATGACAGACGACGTTGAAGAGGACTCAAAAATTCTGACCATCTCGTGTTCTTTAGAGTGCACTGACAATGCACAGTGCACAGGCCTCTACCATTTTGCCTCCATCAAAATGTGACCGCTTACGCAGCAGTTGAGATCGAGCCCGCAAACCAGCAGCTGAGCACCATAATTGCTCTATCACCATAGCGGACATGGACAGACTTGGCAAAGTAGCTACCCGTCACATCAAGGTGCACGATAGTTGGGGAATGCATGCGTACTAGCTCCTCCAATTCGCCCAGAATACTCCAGTTTTTGTGAGGACAGCCACAAATCTCTTGAAAATGACCCTGCCCTCCCCGCAAGAGGAAAATAATAAGAGACAGGGTCAGTGGTTCGATGTGTCCTGGCCTTTGTATTAACCGTAGGGCTTGTGTACGTCAGTTCCATCATAGTACACTACTGCCATGAGGAAAAGCACACTGAAACTTGGAAGGACCTGCTGCGAGGAATTATAACTCAGCTGCCAGCCCGTAATAAGATCATTTGCTACGTGATGCCAACAGGCAGGAAATGTGCCACACTCGCCATCATGACTACCGGTGACGCTGGCTAACGCTCCCACGTTTAAATGCCCATTTATGCCCCATAAAGTGGACTGGAAGATAGCCACTGTGGTAGCTCAGTTGGTAAAACGTCGGAAGCGTTTTTCGAAGGTCGCTGGTACGAAATGTGCCCACGGCAAGTTATCGTTTGTCAATCAATCCATCAATCATTTTATTTCCTTTAGATAAGGTGGAGTACAGGACTAAAAGCTCAAAAGCTTGACGAGGTCCTGACCCCGTTCACAAGTTGACAAAGCAGCAGGAATGGCAGTCAATCATGCACAACAAATATGAAATAAATGTATTTGTCCACTTTTCTTTCTTCACGTTTACATTGTATTAACTACTGATAACATCCCCTATACCTTTCTTGGCAGTGTTATTAATACTGTGTCGAACATACAAAAACAAGCCCTCAGAATTTTCACTCTTTCCTTCAATCATAGCGAGGATCTCGTTCGGCAGACATGTTTTCAGGGAGTATGCGAAGGATTATTGGTCAGCTGCCAGCCTGTAATAAGGTCACGTGCTACGTGATGCACACAGGCAGAAAAAGCGTTCCACACTCTTCATCATGGCTACTGGCACCACTGACCCACGCTAGGAAATAGTCATTATGGTAGCTCCGGAAAAGTCATTGGAAGGTTGCAGGTTCGGACCCTACCTTGTATCAACACTATTTCACTCATTATGCCTTATTTTTGTGTTAAGTGTTACCAGACAGCGGCACGATGCTTTCTTCCTTTTATCTAGCACTTTCATCCCACCTGACCAACAAGTGGTTCCTGGTCTGCAAGGGCCACAATAAGTATGCAGTCTGCCTGCCGGATGCAGCGCTGGGTCCATGAGCTCATCTGGCTGTCACACTGGTACAGAAGCACCCTGTTGCGGTCCTCCTGCTGACCCAACCAGTTGCACAGGCGGTACTCATTGGCTCTGCAGAAAAATAATCATTAGTAGCACCACCTACCTAAGCAACATGTTCTATAGTTTCTTTGCTGCTACCACAAGTGGCCACGTTGGCATATTTTGATGACAAGTTCCTTCTAGAACAGACAGTATTAGAATGACAACCCAAACTATTGTTGCACCAAAATATATTAAGGCCATACTGAACTTTTTTGTAAGGCAGTAGTCTACTGAACAAGCTCTAAACTTTCGCTCCTCACCTTTCCTTTTTTTTTTTTTTTTTGGAGCTCCACTCATTTTTCATCTTTCCCCCTCCTCATAGAGTGAGGTAGCAAACACCCCATTTTTTCCTCTCTCTATTTAAGCGGCATGGCAGTGACTTAGCAACAAAATTGATATGAATTACAATAATCCATAAAAAACTAATGTTTCAAAAACTGGTTAAATCCTGGAGCACCAAAATAACATCATTTAAGTGTACTTACGTGTCAAGTGCAGAAGCCCCAAGCTGCTTCTTAATGTAATCGGAAGTCAGCCGGAACACTGGTCCTGTAGCAATAATGAGAAAATGAATAGCTATTGATTTTACGCAGGTCTTCTCATTCCTCAGAGTGTGATTTTTCACTCCTATAGAGTAACTTGAATTAAACTGAAATTGCTACAACTATGTAAAACAAGCAGAAACAGCAGAGGTGTTCCTTTAGGTTAAAACCACGTTATGCTCGCTACAGAGGACAAACGTGCAATACAGGAACTGACAGCAGATTTTTCTTGACCCAGTTTTTGATGGTGCTAGGGAAAGGTTAGGTTAGAGGATGCAAAGGGTGCCACTGGGTTTGCTGTGCCCTCCAGCCGCTAGGGCTCCTGCCAGTGCGTGCCAGCAAGGGAAAGCTCCCCCTTGTTAGTGATTAAACCTGCAGGGGTTGATTCCAAAAGCACGTGGATATTTTGAAGGCAGAACTTTGTTTCGAGAAGCCATTAAATCACTAAAGAAGTTAGTTCCTTCTCCAGTAGCACTGTGAAGCGATAGTTATGCTGACAGCACTCCTCGAAAATTGTTCATTTCACTAAAGGTTCTGCTTTCACAAGAGTTAGTGAAACTTGTATCACTGCCAGATGCGCCGACCGACGGAGACAATGGGCGCTTTAGCGCCGGAGCGCTGTAATGAGCATCATGCTGGGCCGAAGAACGGGGAGGAGACTTTTTATTCAGGGAATGCGCATCAGCGCATAGCAGAAGTTACACAATATAATCGTTGCATGGCGCTATACGACACATCCTGCGAAACCAAAACTGATCCGAGGTCCAGTACTCCGAGATTACTATTTTTGAATTTGGGACATGAAATGCCCGACACCACATCATCTTCCCCTAGAAAGGAAAGGAGACGTAAACTCTTGTGTACTTGTACAAGAGAATGTGAATGAATTACAATAGATGCCTTTTAAACGAAATCTTAAGGGACCAGGAAAATGTGTTTCTTTTAAGAGGAGTTTCATTTACTCAGAGATAAACAGGGGTACAATATCCAAGTAGGAAACCAAACACATTAGTTTATAAGAAAGTGCATCCACCACAACATTATGTGAACCCTTGCAGTACTGTACAGAGAAGTTGTAGTACAACAGTCTGGCACACTAGTGTGAAATGCGTAATGGGTGCCGGCCTCTGATCCAGCAGAAAGTAATGCAACAAGAGCTTGATGATCAATGCGTAATGTAAAATGTCTACCCCACAAGTACACACGCCATTTCTCATAAGCAAAAAAGCAAGCTAGAGCTTCCCGCTCACCAGCAGAGTAGCTGCGTTCAGGAGACTAAGTTCTCGAAGCAAAAGCAATTGTGATTAACTGGTCACCTTTGAGTTGTTGAAACATGGCACCCAATCCTATGTTGGGCGTATCAGTTGTAATGACTATCGGAAGCTTCTCATTAAAGAGTTGAATGACTGGGTTTGCAGCTGGTACTTCTTTGATATTGCTGGAAGCCACATTGGCTTCCTTGGACCAATTGATGTTTGGCCTTCACACAACATGAAATGCAGTGGTTCAACAACATCAGGGTAATGTGGAACCAAGAAATGAATGCAAGGTTTTAGAATCTGCAGGTGCATTAACAATAGCATGCACTTTGAATTCAAAAGGAGACAATTTTTCTGGCACTGACATTGTGTCCTAAAAATTTAATTTGCTGGACGGGAAAGACACATTTGTCTTCAGTTTCATTCCTGTATTGCTTATGCGTCTTAGTACAACTTGTAAATTACCGTAGCATTATGCTCCGCACGCGTTCGACCCCAGACCAAAATGTCATCTAAGTAGCACAGTACTCCAGAGCAATCTTTCAAAATGTCCAAAATCATTTTCTGAAAAACAGCAGGGGCAGATGAAAGCCCAAAACAAACTCTACGGAATCTAAATAAACCATCATGTGTTACAAAGGTAGGTAGTTAGTTCTCTACTTGATTCAGACAAGTTAACCTGATGGTACGCTGAAGCAAGATCTAGCTTTGAAAAGTAAACAGCACCTGTAAGTTACGAGAGAAGTTTTTCGATGTGGGGTAGGGGAAATCCATCAACCACGATAGCTTTGTTTGGTTCACGCAAGTCCACGCAAAGTCTTAAGGAACCGTTCTTTTTTTTCACCACGACCAGTGGAGAGACCTAATCTGATGCTGAAACTCGTTCGATGACGCCTGATTTTTTAAGACGAGAAAGTTTGTTGGAGACTTGTTCTCAAAGCAGGAATGGCAATTTACGAAGTTTGGCAGTGACTGGCTGGACACCTGGACGGCATTTCACTTCGTGCATGTAGCCTTTCGCCAGTCTGAGTTCCTGGGTGAAGAGGTGATGAAATTCAGAAGGAGCATTGGCAGGAATTCTTGTGGTTTCTGAACCTGAAATTTGTGAACAGGACAATGTTTCACCGTCGATGGTTATGCAGAGGCTTCGAATGGCATCCAACACAAGTGAAGAACCCTCTTCCATCACGTAAAATGTGACAGCAGCAGTGGTATCATTGTACCGAACGTTTGTGCAGAAGTATCAGAGGTTGGCAATGCATTTCTTCGAATAGTCCAGAAGGACAATATATGAGTAAAGTAGTCTGGTCCCCAAAAAGTACTTCTTGAAGTCTTGTAAGCTAAATCATGATACGGTCGCACTGGTGTCAACAAGGAATGTCGACTTGACCAACTTGAACAATAATCTTCAGTGGTGAAAGATGGCTGGAGCGTTCATCAATGTTTAGAATTGTAAATGTGTTTGTTACAGCAATATCTTGTACTTCAGCTACATTGTGTTGAGATGTGCCGACATTTGATGAGCAGCATACACCTCGTTAGGGACCTTGTTTCCCGCAGGCAGAACAAGTGCAATTGCGGGCTGGACAATTAGGAAAATTCGCGTAGTGTTGATGAAATTCGTATCTGTAGCAGACACCCGATTCAGACCGGTGTGGTCTATCCTGGCAGCTTCCTGCCGAGTTCTGTCGGGGAGGCCATCGGCCATACTTTTGTTTTGGCCGGCCATCTTGTGGACCGGGATGTAATCCTATCTTCTCAACCTGTGCGCGTGCGAAAATTCCTGCATTTCGAGTTCAGTACGCTCCTCTTCGCAATTTGAATTTTATGGCGTAAAGCAAAGGTAGAACCCAGTTGCATAAGTCGTCTTCGCACATTTTGTACGCACATTTTGTACGTGATCAGCTGAACAGCTGATCACGGACCATGGAATGGACGGAGGCGCCGAAGTTTCATTTGCTCGCCATTGTCTGTAAAGCAAAAACGTAGTCAGTAACCGATTCCCCCGGTATTTGCTTGCGCATTTTGAAATAGTCACGCTCTAGGACTTCATTGCTCGGAGCCTTGAACTAGTTCTCTAGTAGAGCAAGTGCTGCGATGTATTCATCCTGCGTGCCATCCTCCAGAGTCCCCTCTCCGCTTTCCGCCTGGTCCTGCGGATTTCGTAGTGTCCAGTAGACATCAAGGCCCTCAAATGCGAGTGCGTTAAGTAGTAGACTCTTCATGAGAGCAGGCCGGGCGATGTCTCCAGCGGCAATGTCAACGTACACTTAAAAGACATGGTGCCATTTAGCCCAAGGCATAGAAGGAGTGCCCGAAGTATGCAAGAATGGCAGAGGAGCTATCGTGGAAGTCATACTGGAACGCTGAGGCACTGTGAAGTCGCAGTCGCCAGTATGCGTTGGCGAGTAACTTGTGCCAGCAAGCCTTGGCCAAACATGCAGGGGTGGCCGCAGTAGGCCTAACGCATTTCGTGCAGCGTGTAAGTAGGGCAGTGTCCTGTAAATGCGCCCGAGAAGGTGGTAATATGCATAGAAAATCGGCGGAGGATGCCGAAAAAGTACGCAAGATGCTTATTTTTTGTTCATCTCATTGCCAGTTTGTTGTATCGCTGCTGGATGTACCATTCGACGGCGAAAATGGGTGCGTTAGCGCCGAAACGCTGTACTGAGCGTCATGCTAGGTGGAGAACAGGGAGGGGACTCTTTATTCAGAGAATGCGCGTCAGCGTGTAGAAATGGTTACCAAATATAGCTGTTGCATGGCGCTATATGACACATCCCGCGAAAGTGAAACTGACTGCAGGTCCATGACTCTGAGATCAGTATTTCTGAATTTGGGACACGATATGCCTGACACCACAAAACTGTGGTTAACCACAATCATATTCATAATGTCAATCGTTTTTGAAAATAAAAAGCAGATAAAATAAGTTTTTTAAACACTTGCCACTATGTGAGACTCCTTTTCCACCTCACAAGAGAGCCACTCGTGGCCTTCATAATTAGCTCCGGCAAGGCAATGTTGCGCATTGCAAGAGCTAAATGGAGAGGCTACAAAGCGCTCTTCGTACTTCTCGTCGGCAGGTGCAGTTAGGCCTTCAGCTAACAAAGTTGATGCTGCCGGCCATGAGCATTGGATCAGATACCATGTGCAGGCAGCACCACTGTTCTGCTCAGTACAAATGAAGGCACATCTTCGTTTTAGGTTAGGAAAGACCACAAGAAAAAAGTACTGCATTTGAACATTAATTTAAAGACGATTATTAGCGTAAACCAGTAAAAGGCCACAAGATCACCATCATGTGCATCTTCATTTTTTTATTACATGAGGGACCGGAAGTTATTTTTAGTCAGAGTAAAAATAGTATAAATCCACGTACTATAGCAAGAAAAATAGGGTTCAATTTTGACCATACAACAGACTATCTTTCTATCAGTGGGGCAATCTCAATTCGTGTTCTAAACGGTTGTCAATCACTAACATTTTTTCATGACTCCAGTTTCTTTTGTCAGCCATGGAGAGATTTTTAAAGCTTTTTCCAAGTCAGGGAAGCGAGCGCTCGTGGGGAGGTGAGCGCTCGTTGCGTTCATGTCTACGCTGTAACTGAAACCACGAGGCGAGCGCTCGTGGTTTCAGTTACGGCGTAGATATTGCTAGTGCGAATTTAGGCAGTCTCCGACGAATCTGAGAGGGAGTGTGTGGATGATGGTAGTAGCACAGACAGGGTAGACGACTTTAATTCTTC